GCATAACTTCACTCTAGATGTTAGAAAAATATTTATGGCCATAACGCAGATAGGTGTAATCCAGGAGTAACACACTAACTTAATGAGTCTTTGCTTTGACATGATAGAGTGATACTGCAGAGGTCGACATATAGCCACATATCTGTCATATGCCATGACTGCAAGAATAGACAGATCACCGAGGGCAAATGAGTATATCACCAGAGCCTGAACAAGGCATCCAGAATAAGAGATAACATGAACAGGAGAGAGCAGATCCCAGAGAAACTTGGGGTAGAAACCTGTTGTCCCAAAAAGTCCATTCATGCAAAAAGTGCACAATAGAATATACATCGGTTCATGCAGGTGTTTGTCCAAGATGATGGTCACAATAAGAGAAACATTTACCAGCAAAATAAAACAGTAACACAGCAAAGTGAGACAGAAGAGAGTAATTCGGTAGTTCATAGTTTCGTTTAAACCAGAAAGGAAAAACATTGTTATGAGAGAGACATTATCCATCATGTGAGTAGCCCTGTCCTTAAGTGGCTGTTCTCTCATCTCGCTGTCATTAATATCTTGTCTGAATACAGCAGCGCATGATGTGGGAATTCAAACCAACCAATCAAAAGTCTAGAGGAGCTTTCATCTTGTATCACCTAGTTGCAATCTACAGTTGCACTGTACAGAAACAAAAATAAAACAAGAAGGCCTTTGGAAAATGGATTTCTCCATCAATCATTTTTCACCCTTCTTTTGATTATTTTATTATAATCACTAAGCGCCAGACACAGCCCAAGGCCAGGTGAACAACAGGATAAATATAGCAGGTGTGTTAATGTCAGGCGATGGACCAGGAAGGGACATGTTTTTTTTTTTTTAAGAAACAGACAGCAGGGGGCGCCCCAGTATCTTCAGCCTGGTAGAGCTGGTCCCCCATGTACCAAGGCTGGGTCCTCGCTGCAGCAACTGTTGGTTCAACTCCAATTCTTGTCACTCTCTGGCTATCACTTTCCATTAAAGGCATAAATAGCCCTACAAAATATATAAAATAATATATGGCTAGACAATGGACTTTGTAATCGCCAGAGCACAACCCAACTGAAATGATGCATTAGTGGCCTTTGATTGAGATTTTTTTAAAGAAAATCTTTTTTGACAAATAGCCACGACTATACATGGATTTCTTTACCCTGCAAGTAGTCTGTTAATGCCACTTTCATAGTTATAGATGGCCACTAGTATATTAGTTATGAATCCTTTTTTATTCAATACAAGATTGCCTATGGACTCAAATATTGTGTCATGCTAGTGAGTAGTGTTCAGAGCTAAACAAAGCACCCATGTTGATTGCACCATTGTCAGGTTCATATTATTTTAATTTACAGAAATATTGATGCTATTTATCTTAGTCAAACACAATATTGCAGTTGAATAGTATTTATTATTCTTTACAGGTTAATATTTAGTCATATTTGCTTTTATTCTTTTTGGATTTTGGAGCTGTTCCTGGTCTAACCCCTTGCATAGGACTCGTTTGCCTTACCCTGCCAACCCCTTTTCCATATTGAGGTGCCAATTCTTGAATGGTGGGATGTTAGTTTCTAATAAATATGATTTTTGTATTTTTCTCCCATAATCTGAGAGAGACAAAATGCACATGGCAACAAGTAAAGATACATATTTCAAACAAGTACTGTATGTTGCTCAGAATAACGCCTATGGTTGCAGCCTCCTAGGTAATCCAAGTAAGCCTCATTTTAGTGATATTAATTTGAAAAGGAATCCAATGATGTGATCAGACTTCTGTACACATTACTTTTGCTTTTCGTGATGGTCACTGTGTCGGATTTGTTGATCATAGAGACATGGCAGACTATAAATTGAATTGAACCAGTTCTCACTAAAGCAAGCAAAGTGTGTAACGAGGCATTTTCTCTTTTTGAAAATGTTAAATAAGAAAACATTGTTAAAACTTCGGAGTATATAAATATATATGATATATAATTATATGTTTGCATGACTGTTCTGTAAAGTAGTAGATTACATATGTGTTTTTAATCAACTGCAATTTCAAGATAGAATACACTCTCTTCTAGTGAGACAGCACATTTAAACAAGAAAAGGAAGCTTAGAGAGGAAACCTACTAATGGAACTGAACACTGTAATATTTAACAGAGGAAACAGTCCTTCCTCTGACTTTCCTGCTGATTTGGACAAACCAGTATGTTAAAAAAGACAATGAGAAATTTCAGGTTTTGTATTTACATTCACTTTCATTTTAATTTCTTGAATGCAATAAGACTGACCATCCAAAATGAATTCAAAGAAAGGTGCAAAAGATATTTAGTGCAAACAACTGGGTTATGCAGACAAATAATTAAAAATGACCATTGGTGTGACCATTAGATAAAAAAAAAGCTGTTAATGCAAATATGCAAAAAATATGCAATCTTTAAAGTTCATATTTCAAAGTACAATAGTTCATATACAATACAAAAAAATATGGCATTTGTTTTAGCATAAAATATTAAGAAGAATAAAGAATAATCTATTTGTTCAACTTTTCAGAAGACTAAGAAAAAGGGCGATATTTAATGTGATTTTTTTCTAAGGAATATTGGAGTTCCCCCACCATGTAAGACAAAATTAATTTAATTTCAAATGTAAACCATGTAAATATGCAAATATATGCAAAATTCATATTTAAAGTACAACAGTTGTACTACTACTACTAAATTAGGCATTTGATTTAGCACTTAAAGCCTGATGGACAAAGAATAACAATTCAAAAGACAAGACATATTTGCTTTCTCTCAGACTTTTCTCAAGGCAGACTAAGGAAAGCTTTGATGTTGTGCAATAGATATTTAATTTAAGGGCATTTTGAAGGAATATTAGACTTACCCTACCACGTAAGAGAAAAATCATTTAATTTTAAAAGTAATAACACCCAGAATTCTGTTCCGAATTTTGGTCAATTTGAAACCATAAATGAGAGGATTCAAAAGAGGAGGTATGATGAGAAATTCTATTGCAATAAAGTTTTGAAAGGTTTGAGGGAACTTTTTTGATCCAAATCGCATATTCATCACATCAAAAAGTACAGTGACAATAAAAATGAGTAAGGAGGTCAAATGTGGCACACATGTTTGCATGAACTTTGCCCTGTTTTCTATAGAATTCACACACGTTTTAATGAGATACATGTAGGACCAAACTATAAAAACACCATGAAATACATATATGATTATTGTAATGTATGCAACTATGTTGTTAATAGTTGTTTCAGCTGGAAAACAAGCAAGTTTAACAATAATCCAGTTCATACAGAAAAGTCTCGCAATATGAGGGCTACATAACTTTAACCTAGATGTGAGAAAAATATTTATGGCCATAATGCAGAAAGGTGTTAACCAAGAGAAACACGCTAACTTAATGAGTCTCTGCTTTGACATGATAGAGTGATACTGCAGAGGTCGACATATAGCCACATATCTGTCATATGCCATGACTGCAAGAATAGACAGATCACCGAGGGCAAATGAGTATATTACTAGAGCCTGAACAAGGCATCCAGAATAAGAGATAACATGAACAGGAGAGAGCAGATCCCAGAGAAACTTGGGGTAGAAACCTGTTGTCCCAAAAAGTCCATTCATGCAAAAAGTGCACAATAGAATATACATCGGTTCATGCAGGTGTTTGTCCAAGATAATGGTCACAATAAGAGAAACATTTACCAGCAAAATCATTAAATAATACAGTAAAGTGAGAGAGAAGAGAGTAAACCTGTGGCTCTTCGTTTCATTTAAACCTAAAAGAAAAAATATTGCTATTTGAGAAACATTATCCATCATGGTCCACTTGAAAGGAACCTCCGTTCCTAACAGCCTCTGGTCTCTCTCCCCACTGTTATTAATATCTTATCTGACTACATCAACGCACAAGATGGGAATTCAAACCAGCCAATCAAATAATCCTCCTGTTTCAGTGTGTTGCAATCTATTGTACATGCATACATTGGGGCGGCTGTGGTTTAGAGCGGGTCGGCCACTAATGGAAGGTTGGCGATTTAAACCCAGGCTCCTCTTGCTACATGTCGAGGTGTCCTTGAACAATACACTGGACCCCAAATGGCTCCCGATGCTGTGTATGAGCATCGGTGTATGAGTGTGTATGAGTGATTCGTTTTCGTTCTGTTGAGCAGTTGGCACCTTGCATGGCAGCCACTGCCATCAGTGTATGAATGTGCGTGAATGGGGTGAGTGTGGCCGTAAGACTCCATATCCAAATATGTCATTTTCACCACTTGAACAATGATTACATAAGTTTTGGATTTTAAAGTGTATTTGTTATTACGATAATCTAGGTTCTATCTCTGGTTTCGCAAATTTATTTTAGACTGGTCTGCAGTGTGCAGCCAGTCTAGTCTAGTCTAAAAATGCATTTCATTGCATAGTTTTGACTTAATGTTATATAACAACAGTTTCAGTAAGGAACTGCTTTTTTACATAAATAAATAAATCGATTACATTCATTGTTACATTTATATTCACTACCTTTATGTCACATTAAAATCTAATCACAACACCGAAAACATCGTTAAGCAGTGTTTTGTATTTCAGTGTACATTTTGTTAGACCCCCGAAGGTGAAATGCATACAGTATATTATAATCATCTGTCGTCCATTTTAATACTTCCACTTTCAACAGCTAACATCTATTACACCATTCGCCTGCTGTGTCAGACTGTGGCCCCCTAAGTGTCTGGCAGGTTAGGAATGACAACTTGTAAATAGCTACATGTTAGCATGACAGCACCTTGTGAGCGTTGCACAAGTTACGTTCCGTCATCAATGCTAGTGTCGTCAGCTAAAGCTAGCAATTTCAATGGACAACTGGATAGTTTAATGTAGAAGTGAGATGGAAAAACAACCACAGAAAAAACGGCATATGGTTGAGGAGAAAAGAAGGTTGCAGGAAAAACTGATCAACTCTTACTTTGTCGTACCTTGAGTGACAGACGAACTGATTGTACCTGCAAACAGATGAATTTGCTGCTCAAGGAATTTTAACGCTTTATGGGACCAATCACAAATTTGAATTGTAAACTTATTAATGACTGTACTGTGATGAATCAAAAAAATACCCGTGTTAAAATTGACATTAGGGGATGCCTTTCATCTATAGCATGACCACAAAGTCACGAGTTAAAGAGAATAATGTTTATTTCCTCTCTAGATTCATGTTTCACTTGTAATTTCAGAGTTTTCTGGCAAAAATGTCCTGACTCAGGCTGACAAATCCAAGTCTGCTGGAGGGACTGACCATTAGTGCCACAGGAAGTTCAGATATTGGTTTTGCTCTCCGTTGATATCCTCAGAAACCTGTGAAGGCTCCAGAACTTCTTATAAAGTACTGGAGCCTGCACAGATTTTATGCTTACATAATATCACATTTTAAGTCAAGAACTTCATTAACATCTTTCTTTTGTGATTCAGTTCTATTGATGCTGAAGGCAAATGTGGGGGCAACAATCAGGAATAATATTGGCATGATCAAGTGTACTCTGATGATGAAAAGACTATTATTTAAAACATATACAGTGAAGTTTTAACTCATAATGGGTACAACCTCATTTTAATTATAAAATATATATTTCTACAGTAAAAATTGCAGTTGAAATTATTGAAGTACTGCAAGTGTCAGGGTGAGAAAAAAAACAAGGAAGGCTCTTTGAATGAAGAAAGTGACATCATTTCTTGTGTGTGCCAACTACAACAGTATTGTTTGTGCTCTGTAGAAGTCATTATAAATACTTTACATCAGCCACATGATTTAACTTTGAATTGCATTATGAACAGTGAATAATAATCAGTGACAAGTGACATTTTTATGGGGCAGAAACCTAACTGCAGATAGTATTTTTGTTTTATGCAGTTTATTTGATTATTTAACAGTTACATTTTTTTCTTAGCATCAGATAATTTGGGATCCTTGACAAAACATGTGAAACACACACCTTTCTGTCGTCATGTGACAAGTGAATACAAAATAAAAGAACATTTGCAATGAACAAACAGTTAATTAATATTGTATGTGATGTAGGTAAGATGCTTTTAATGTCAAAATGAAGGGAGCGTTGAATTAACAACAATCTTTCAGTCAGTTATTACAACAATAACTTAAAGAAAAATGAAACAGATAAATATTCCTGCCATCACATTTTCATTTTTAGATATAAAAAAAGGGACTGATTTATTTTCTAACCTGTAGTCTGAGAGCTCACCTCCAATAGGAAAAATCATGGGATGACACATCTTTCCTTCTGATATTATCAAATTCAAACTTTTGTTGCAGACTAAGTTTGAATCCATATATAAGTGGATTCATAGTCAGAGGAATAAGCAGAAATGCCACTGCCATAACATTGTAAAGGTCTTAAGATAAATCAAGTGGCCCCAAATGTCCTATTCATGAATTTATTTATGTATTTATTTATTTTTGTGTGTCTTGTTAGGCCATGAGGCTTGGGCACTTTGTGAGCATGACAAGAAAATCTAATCAAATCAAATCAATATACAGTCAATCTAAAAGCACAGCTGTTGTTAAGCATGTTTGCTTAAACTTCCCATGGTTCTCTTTAGATGATCTGCACGTTCTTACCAGATACATGTAAGAGCAAAAAATAAATATGTCCCACAATGTTTGCTTTGGTTGGTGAGCAAGCAAGAGTAGCAATTAACACAGTAGATCCTATTTATGTGTGAGCCACATAACCTTGCTTCTAACAATGTTGCTGTGTTCATAAACATAGAATAAAGAGGGAACTAAAAAGCACAAAGATACAAGGTACACTACATTGACATATAGCCACATAGCTGTCATATGCCATCAGAGCTAAGATAGAAAAATCACTGCAGGTTGATGAGTACATTATAAAACCCTGTAGCCAGCATTAGAAATTATGCATATAAAATTTATAGATTACACAACTAGATATACATGGGTTCATGAAGGTTTTTATCCATAATAATGACAACAATCAGAAAAACATTTCTCAAAAGAATCATTAAGAACGTCTGTAATGTTAACAAGAAGAGGATAATTCTTTGTTCTGATCTAAAAAATCAAAACCTGAAAGAGAAAACAGCATGACAATTGAAATATTTTGCATCATCTGTACATTTTCTAAATTTCGAAAACAAGCATAACCAGTAAAATGACTCATGACACCAGCTACTGAAGAATCGGAGAATACAGGGACATTTTTCCCAGTGATGCTTTTATTTCATGATGCCACTTTACATCACAAACTTTTTTTCTGTCAATCCAAACAATATATACAAGCAATAATTTAATTAATTAGTGGCTTGGAGTTGTTGTAATATATATATATTTACACTGAATACACCAGAAGTGAGATTTTTAATATCAATATTAAAACAAATGTCTTTGTGTATTCACCACCTCTAATATGTCACATCATTGGGTGGTACATGGTGTAAAAAAGAGATTTTAAAGTACTGATGAAAGAAAGATCACTTACTTGCAGCAACAGCACAGGTTAATTGTGTTAACCTTATTTCTAAGGTATAATTTGTTGGTCAGGCTTTGAGCATAACATTCTTAGGATAAGTTTTCTAATTTCTGGTAACTTCAGGCCGTACACAAGAGGATTCAGAATAGGAGGAATCACAACAAACTCAAGTGATAAAATTACAGCTAGAAATGGATTCATATCTTCAAGATCAATTCTGCTGAGAGCAACATCACAGAACACAGTAATGGCATAATTGACAAACGTAATAATGTGTGGCAAACAGCTTTGTATGACTTTGCCCTTGAACTCTTTAGAGCGTTTCCTACAAACCAGAAAGATTCGGGCGTACGTATAAAGGACAAAAGCCAGGGGCAGGAAGACTGTGTTTATAGACACAAACATGCCAACCATGTTATTAATCACAGTAGTGACACATGACAATTTCACAACAGGCCAGTTGGCACAGAATACCTTTGGTATCTTATTGCCACACAGTGGAAGTCTGAACGCCAGATAAACACAGACTGCAATAGAAAATGTCGGATAGAGCCCTGCCAAGAAGACCAATTTAGAGACCAGCTTGGAAGTCATTTTGTTGTGGTAATATAAAGGTTGACATACAGCAACGTACCGATCATATGCCATGATGCCTAAAAGGGTGAGCTCATAAGACGCATAGGTGTAAATGACATAGATCTGAGTGAAACAAGCCGGTCGTGAGATCAAATGAGTATCAGACAGAAGGTCTCCCAGAAATCTGAAGATGAATCCAGCAGAGCCGTACAGAGAGTTAAAAGAAAGACACATAATAAAAATATACATTATGTCATTATGTAAAGTTTTCTCTCTTGATATTACCACTATTATGACAAGATTGGCTGAGATAATAAAAGTGTACAACAGGAAACACAAGACAAATGTTGGGTAGCGGTAGTTGCCTATGTTCACAAACATAGTGAGGATAAAATAGGGGGGATTAGTGCTGTTTTCCATTTACCCCATAAACAGTACCAGAGATTGTTTAGTGAATAAACAAAATTCTTCAGCTGGATCCTGTCAATGGTAACGACACAGCTGCAGCTCCCTGTTATCCCAAGGGTTGGTTTTCAGAGAGAACTGAACCAAACGAGAGAACAGAGATTTCCAAAGTGATAAATGATGGAAGAGGATTACAAGTAAATTAGAAACATTTGAATAATAAGTTATCAATAATTAACAACATATATACAATAAGCAAGGTAGTATCAATGGCTACAGTCTCAGTTGTATTACCTGTGGATTTAAATCACAGTGTTTTTCACCACCCCTGAATGTTCCTCATGTTTGTGTGTGGTCTGTGGCATGGCAGGTAACTCCTGTGGTTTCGCAAGAGGAGCTGAAAGCCTCTTTAACTTGTCACACATAATTATGTCACTGCAGTCATCACACCATGGGGAATCTAGGATGGAAAAAGTTAATGTGTGAAAAATTGGCTAATACAATTTTGATGGCGACGATGCAAAAACGCTTGACTTTCATAACAAAAGTACAAAAAGACAATACATAACTCTTCAGTCTGTATAAATTGGCAACAAACTGTCAGTGGCACATATTGGCAATCTGTTTTTCCACTGCAGTTTCAGATTAGAAAGAAGTCGGTGGCCTTAATTCCAAATCAAATCCGGGATTAAAACAATTAAGCATTATTCTTACTGGTGGCTTGTGGGTGTTCAAAGTATACTAGTTTAGCCTAATGATGATGAAAGAGTGATTGCAGTTATTTAATTGATTTATTAAAAATATAGGAATGGCAATATCGGTCAGTTGTCCACCACTTTGGTACAGACAGAGGTTGGTATTTCAACATCTGTCAGATGGATTTCTATGACATTTGGTACAGTTATCCTTGGCGCCAATTACGACTTTGCTTTAGTGCCACCATGAGGTTGACATTCATGCTTTTGGGTGAAAACTCTCAACAATTAGATTGCCATTAAAACACACACACACACATTCTTGCCACCCTCAGGAGGAATAATCTCTTTGGTGAATTTGTCCATTACTTTGCTTCATGACCAAATACCTGCAAAGCTACTCTGTGTTCAGTGTTCATTAGCAAATGTCATCATGCTAACATGCTAACCTAACATGGCAAACGTGGTAAACATACCTGCTACCAGCATCAGCATGGCATCAGTCATTGTGAGCATGTTAGCATGGCGTACAGCTTCACAGAGCTGCAAGCATGGCTTTAGACCAGTATATTATTTCAGTTTAACTCATTATTCACAAGGTTCTCTTTAATACATTAGTAGACAGGAGACTTTGATACATATGATTTAACATTAGATGTACATGATTTATTATCCATGCAGTGCACATGAATAAATGAAGTTTTATAACAAGGTTCAGGAACAAAGACCACGCCCTGCAATCATCTCATTTCCGCTCAAACTTACTTAAGCACACCTTATCTGTTCACTCCCTCCTTCACTCATTTTTCACATCCCTCCCCCCAAACCCATTCTTTTCCTCAATTAGCTGTAGTTCCTCATAAATATAGTGTGTGTGTGTGTGTGTGTGTGTGTGTGTGTGTGTGTGTGCACTTCAAGAATGAGGTCTAACAGCCACCAGACAGGGCATGTTTTGTAATTAAGTATTTTAGAACCTGAGCATATATCCTGCCCTGAAATAGCAGTAATAAAAAAAGAGCATGAGAACAGCATAAATAATGAATCACATTCAACATTTCAAAATATGGCTCATTTCAGTCCCACAGAGACTTTACAAGGAACTTATGCTTAGAGCCTATTAATATTTTTGTGAACTGTAGAAAGAGGCAGCGCATCCTCCACGACATACTCAGCCACCAGCCTTCTCACTTCTCCTGGGTCAAGCATCTTCACCTCTGGTCTGGAGGAATCCAACTTTCGTTGTTTAGATTTGCTCACGCCGTCATCTTCCACCTGTTTGTAGCAAGAGGTTTTTGAGCCGTAGACAGTTCCGTCGCCTCCACCCACAGCACAGTAAGTTGCACCCTTACTGTGAGCTTCTTATCCATTTCTGGGACAAATTCAAAATAGTAAGCCGAGTATAACAACTTAGATTGAATTATCAGTTGTTGTTGCCATCTCCAAACCAAACCATCTTCTTCTTCTCTGTATTTACGACTGTTGCGCCTGGGTTGTTTTTTCAAAACCTCGCCAGCTATACCGACTCAGCTAACCAGGCGCACAAGTCACTTATTTTGAAGCTTACTGAGGCATATTTGATACGCTAGCAACAGGCCGGTGTAGTATGCATGATTAACTAAAGGGTCCATGTTCATTGTAATAAAGGAACACGTCACCCAATGTAACAGGGTGGCTCGCTGATGTGTTTATAATAGTTTTGGACAACAATGAACTCTGTGGCACAGAGGAATATATCCGACCTACATAGAAAATACTGCAGGATCAATCCACTCATTTTCATTTTTACAGAAAAGAATAGAATAGACTTGCAGAAGGATCAGTGTTTAGTAAACAAGTAAATGTGTAGGTTCTGACATAAATTCAAATTCAGACTTTTAATACAGATTTAAAAGAATCTCATTTCAGAGGTTTCAGCATAATTCAAGTCAAGAACTCACAAACAGAAATGATGATTGATTATTAAATAATTTCTTGAACCTGCCTATTAATAACATTTTGTTTATCTCATTTAAAAACAACTGGTCACACATAGGTCATGTCATGAGTGATGTAAGGATACTGTAATGACTTGTATTAGTCCCTCAGTCCTCCTTAATGCCCATCACTGCCCTGACATCCCTAGTGTATCTTCACTAGGTGTTGAAACACATAGGTTGGGGAATAGTGTCATTGAATACTGGCTTGAGATGTGTTTTGGTGAAAGAAAAAGGACATCACATGTGATACATATGAGTTCAGCTCAACTCCTCTGATGCAGTGTTTGATGATGTCAAGACTAATGAGATCCCAAGGGACGGGACACTGTATGCTTTATTCTTCAAAGGTTACAAATGTTGAATAATTAACTTTGAAATGGTCAACAGGTCATTATCTCCATTGTCCCTCGAGAGCAATTAAACATGCGTTGCTACCGTGGAGGGCCGTCCTTAGTAACCTAACCAAAACAAAGATGTTTTTCAGTTTAGCAAATGGTCAAGAGAATGAACCACAAACTTCGACAAACACACACTCGCAATCAACAATAGTTTTACTCAGTGGTTAGGAAAGACAGAGATGCCTAACCTAGTGACCCAACACATGCTTGTAGACTGTTATGACAGTAGTAGTCACAAACTTTTTAGCACTTTTGTGTTGGGTCTTAACCTTGTCAAACATAGCACCACAAATGGGCAGTAAGTGACTCACATTTGGTCATCTGAATGTAAGAGCATAGCCAAATGCACTGACACACAAGCACACTGTAAGTAGGACAAAGAGGTGTTTAGATTCTAAAATCAAGATTAATTGAACAATATGCCATAGTCATTACTGTTCCTAAGAACACCCTCTGAGTGAAAACTGATATAAGCCCTGAGAAGCAAGTAAGTGGACCTTTTAGCTAAGATTATTTTGTTAAACCCAAACACTAAACTTAATTCACAAATCATAAAAGATAGAAAAATAGAAAAAAAAGTAGCTTGAGGAAAGCACATGAGAGATTTTGTGTGTAAGTGCAAATATGACAACAGACTTAAACTGGTGTGTATGACTAAACACATGTAAGTAGACATAACACAAGGAAAACAACTTCACTGGTTTTACAACACATGCGCAGCAGAACTGGAATTACAACCCACACTTTCAGACCATCTTTTCTTGAAGGCATTTATGGTGTTGCAACAGGTTGTAAACGCAAGAAATTAAAAACATAAAAGAAGGAGCTTGAGAGATAAGTTCCAAATGTTCCAAATGTTTCCATAATTCCTTGCAGCTGGGCAATCACTGTGTAAAGTGGGTGAAGTCATTATGGAAAGTTACAAAAATTGACAGACACATCTTCAACCTATATGTTGCATTTATAAAAGGGGTTTTAGAGGTTGTTAAATAAAATGCTGCAAAGTAAGAAAATACAGAAATTTCATTAAAGGTCATGCATCTGCCTCGACAAGGCTCTGACATGGTTGTAGAGGCCTAAAGAAATGACAGTTTGTAGTTCCTTCATGCTGCACACACAGAAAAAAAAAATCAAATTCATAAAATAACATAAAAGATAAATAAAATAGAATAAAAATAAAATAAATAAATGTATACAGTTATTTATATAGAGATATACATACATTTACACCCAGGAAATAGTTGTGCAGTGCCTGTTTTGAATGTGGCTGAATGTAAACATCAGCAACAACATAGTGATGATAATCTGGTTTCATCTTCACGTAAAAAAAGTGTTGATTCACTCAGTTTCTTATATCCAGTTGTTATCCAGTCCCATTTTGTCCAAAACCGGACCTTAGCCAGGAGCAGCCTTAAGTCCATGTTCGGCCAGCATGGACAAGCATCTCTTCCTGCATCTCTTCCCTCTCCTCCTGGACTGTTGATGTGTTTCAGCAATAAAGCCAAAAACAGACAGAGAAGTTTGAAGGAGCCTCCGGGTTGCAGCATCTGGACCGAAGCCGTTGCCATAGTTATGCATAGTATATTACATTTCTTCCATATTCTGCTGATAAAGTCCCCTAAATCTTACACACTGAACATTTAAATAAGAAAAGAAGCTAGGTCATAAAATGCAATAAAGTGTATGAAAGCAAGACTGTCTTGTAATGCCCAGAAATGTGTGTGTTACTTGTGACTGTGCTGAATAAAAAAAATATTATGTGTTTTTACAATCATGTGCATTGTGACTTTTTGTCATTTGCAAAAATAATTGCACATGCAGAAACGGTTAATGCACCAGGAGAACCGTAGTAACTAAGATGCTGTGTTTTGTCACTTTTCTACATTGTAATTTCACAATATAATTCATCATTATGTTTATGTAGCTGTTAATATACAACCAGCTGAAAATCTTCTGGCCATGAAAGGGTTAAGCAAGACTCTGTTATGCAATTGCTGAATAATGTGCAGCTGAGCTTTCCTCCTGGAATGAGGGGCAGCTTTCTGAACTGAAAAAGCTTTCTTTTTTTTTATTAACAAAAGAATCAGTTTTACTCTGTGTGGCTCTATCTTCAAAGTTGTAAATATCTGTACTGACTGTTTAACTCAGTGATTATTTCCCTGTGTGTCAAAACACGTGAAAAAACTACCCGTCAGGAAGTGGGTGGAGAGTTAAAAGAGTGCAGACTGTGTGAGTGGCAGGGCAGAAAGCAGGTTTTCTGAAAACAGGACGCAGCAAGAACACAAGAAGATGCAACATACAAAGATATAAAGAGGATAAAAGAGACTAAAAGCAAGGAAACTGAACAAAGGCAAACCAGACAGGAGACTGAAAGAGAGTAAAGAGAAACAAAGGAGACTGTTTTGGAGGTCAGAGAATTTGGCAGCAAAATAGAAAGAGAAGAGTGAATATAACAACACTATGACATACCGGCTGTTTGAGGGGAAGGACCATGCCTCCATCTACCAAAAGTATCGCTTTACGCCTCCGGAAGAGGTCAAGAACATTATTCTTCAGTACCTAAACACTAAGGTAGGCAGTGAACAAATACAACACTGAGAATATACAGTAGCCTACATTATGTTATTATAAGGCACAATAGGCATTTCTGCTTATTTGGTGAGCAAAATGAAGCCAAAAATATTTCAATATATTGATATTAACAAGTACTGCATATCTGTTAACATCCTCAGAAAGGACAGCCACATGTGTTGGCGGTGGATCTGGGATGTGGGACAGGTCAGAATTCCCGGCTACTGGCCCCGCACTTCCAGGAGGTGGTGGGCATCGACGTCAGTGATTGTCAACTGGAGGTAGCCAGAGCTGTGCCAGGGTACCCTAACGTCACATACAGGTAAGAGTGTGTGAGTTAATCTGTATGTGTGGACCTCATTATGCTTTTAAAATAAAGTATGACTTTGAAATGATAGCGCCCTTGAAGTACAGAAGACTTGTACAGAAGTTACAAGAGTGACCTGACTGTTGCACCTGCAGGAAGGGGACTGCAGAGGACCTTCATTTTCCAGATGGCTCTGTTGACTTGTTGACAGCAGCGTCAGCGGCCCACTGGTTTGATCAGTCAAGGTTTCTGGCTGAGGCGAGTCGGGTTTTAAAACCCAGGGGTTGCATGGCTCTGCTTGGCTTCACTGACTCTGACACCAGACTTCACTACCAGGACTGTGGAGAAAGACTCAATCACATCTATGAAGAGGTGGGTGTAGACATAGAGCTCTACTTTCATGGGAGTCGTGTTAAACCTTATCAGCAGTGCAAAGTTTTGTTGACACAAAGTGTCAGTATCTCCAAAGCCTAAATGTAATAATAACACACTGAAAAGGAGTGGCAACATAAATATAATCACCTTTATCAATGCTAAATTGAACAGTTCAGTTGCTGGAGTCAGGACATGGTCAGCTTATCTTAGCATAAAGACTGGAGGCGCAGGACAACACCTAACCTGGTTCTATCCAAAGTTTAAAATTCAGTCAAACACCTCATAAATCTTACTAATGTCACTTTTATCTGCACAGAAATGTAAAGACAAAAAAACTGTTTCTTGGTGAAGAACAGCCAGGTGAACTACAACACGCGTAGTCACCAATCACAGTGCGGTTGCCAGGTTTAGTACACATCATGATTCTAGTCAGACTTATATACTAAAACTTGTGCTTACAATCCAAATCTGTAGCTGAAGATGCTGCACAAGTGTGTGTCAGGTATATACACTGCTGTTGTGAAGACACAAACATCAAAGCTTTCTGTGTTTTTACAGGTGTACAGCACATTTTTAAAGAATGGACAAAGCCAGGCTAGTTGTTTCCCCCTTTCTCCAGTCTTTTCATGCTAAGCCTAAAACAAACCCCACCCACATCCAGATCTGCACCCTAATGCAGGGGCAACGGAATAGATATCAAACCTCCCATCTAATTCCTGAAAAGAAAGCAAAATGTATTTCCCAAAATCTTGAAGTATCCCATCAAGATAAAATTTACAATGGTAACCACTGATCCTAAATCTTATCTTGTTTATTGGTTTATTTGTTTATGGATATATGTATATATTTACAAAGCACATGCAGTACAAGCTTAATGCGTAAATGGACAAGTTAAACATTCATATACATTCACTTCCAGGTGAAGCAGGTGCTGTTGCCATATACTAGCAACCCAGTAGCTGTGTCTGAAAGTAAGCTGGAAGACCTCTACACAGCCATTCCTTTTCCAGACAAAGAGAGGTAATTACCACTCAAACACTGACTGTACCTAACCTACACCTCTGTGGTAACTAAACACAGTATCATTGACTGTGTTTAGTTTTAAGTTGTAAATCAGTAACACAGGGCAAGGAGGAGTAACAAAATGCAAAAAAAAAATGCATTCTGAGAATGCAAAACCCCAAACCAGAAATGTTGTACCTTTGTCTTTCTTTTGGTAATCAAAGACAGGAAATAACAAAGTAGTTCAGAGCTGAAATCACAATCTAAGTTTCTTCCTTAAAACAGTAATGCAGCCATCTTGAATTAGTGATAAAAAAGTTAAATTATGTCAAAGATAGTGTTTTTTTATGTCATGTATGTAATGATACATCAGTATAGTCATACAACAGGATTGAGTGTATTCGGGTGAACCTGACAATCTCAGTGAGGAACCTGGTGGGTTTCATCACATCCTGGTCCATGTTCCAAGCTTACAAGAAGAAAGATCCCCAAACTGCTGAAGACCTGCTGCTCAACACTCAGAAGAGGTTAGCTGTCTACACACACACACACACGCACAGCGTATACATACTGTACATGTCAGTTATTATAATCCAGTATTTCTTTTTCAGTTATCCATTTTGTGAATATGTCTGCATAATCAATCACTACACTTCTTCACAGGTTTCTGGAGGAGATGGGAGTCACGTCTCCTGACACTAAAATGGACTTGAAAATGGGATATTTCTGTGTCCTGGCATCAAAACCGCAATAATCAACAATGTGGCACTGGCTGGGTGATTTTTGGAGTAGGATCTTTCAAAACGTTTCACAATAGAACAGACGATTCCTTAGAGCCTTGAATGCACACTGCGAGGTTACATAACTGGAAATTCTTTTGAAATATAACATGCCTACCACTGTTTATTCACAGAAGGGGTGCTAAGATGTTTTAGTTTAAGTGAGAAGTCATTTAGTCGGGGTATTTGTTTAGCCAGGCCCTTCATGACATACTTGGTGGTCCATTTACTTTACTGCTTCAGTGCTCTTCCTTTATTCTTTTCTCTTTCTCAGTAGGTGGAAGCCTGCTTGCTGCTGCTGACAGTTTGTATTGTGCCTATATTGTGCAACGCAAAAGAAGCCACAGTAACTTATGTTTATGGTACAGCTTTTTATGAAGATTTCTGTGTTTTAAAATCTACAGTAATTATCTTTTCAACAACAAATCTTAAGAAATAGAATATGCCCATGAACAGATATTGGGTAACCAATGTGTAATGTTGAAAGCTGAAACTCCAGTTAGCAACAACTGGGACTCCCTTTCATCATAAATGGTGGATTTAAAGCAGCACTATGTATCTTTGAAAACATAACCTATTCTTTCTTTTCTTTTGCCTTACTTGGTCTGGTATGACCAGTAGCTCACGTTGGCTAATGTTAACAAACTTATAGATATATATGGCTGTGTAGGTGACATTATTGAGATATTTTGTAGTTTAGGGGGGTTAGACTTTTTACTTGTGCTACTGTTAAACTATGTTTTAGCACGTCATGCATGTTTGGGAGACTAACTGAAATGTAAACTTTGAAAACCATGCAGAAGTATGATTATATAGGATCACATGTATGGCGACTTCATGCAGTTGAGCAATAAAGTCGTTGTTGAAATGTCTTTATGTTTACTGCTCTTTACACCAGGAAGTAGCCTGAATTCAATTCTGCTGACCACAACATCAGGGTGACACAACACTGCCAATGAGTAACAAACAGCCGTGGTTAAAGAGTACCATGAGATTATAAAGTGCAAGAAATCAGCCAGTAGAATCAAACAGAGGAGCATTGCACACATAATTGTACACGTACCATGTGTGGGTACATTTGTACCCCACACACATCATCTGCAGGGGTTTCCATTGGTTCTGACAGAAACACATACCATCACATGACCCATAAGCTGACCCTTTACCACACAGACCTTTGAGCTTGACCTTTTTCCATTGAACATAATTATTGTGGATTACATTCAAAACATAGCATCCCAATTATCCACAGAAAACAAGTTGATGCCACATCATATTAAAAACGTAGTTTTGGACCTGTCCCTTTAAAGGCCCCCATTAATAAACATACCACGTACCAGTGGAAGTAGTGGGCCCTCCCAGTTCCCAGGCACCGCCCGGTTTCCTCTTTTGTGTGTGTGTGTGTGAGTGTGTCTCTGAATGCCAGTGGAAATGAATATACAGTCTTTTCAGTGTGGAAGTTATCTCATCCAGTAAAAAAAACACAAGATAATAAGATAGATTGCTTTAATCTCTTTTTTAAAACTTATACTAGATCAACTGCTCAGAGAAGTGTCAACTAGCTATGACTTATCGTCTGTTTGAAGGCAAGAAGCATGCTTCTTCCTACTGGAAATACAGGATCTCTCCATCAGATCATCTAATACAACAAGTGCTTGACTTCCTGGAAAAACAGGTAGGAACAAGTGGGAAAATGGTGGTAGCCTCTGTGTAATTAATTCATTATTGTCAATAGTTAATGACAGAACTAACGTTACAACAATGTCATATAACATGTTCAATATTTTGTCAGAAAGGTCATCCCTTTGATCTGGCAGTGGATGTGGGTTGTGGCTCCGGACAGGGGACAGTGCTGCTGGCTAAACACTTTGTCTCTGTGGTGGGGACAGACGTTAGTCCTGCCCAGGTGGAAGTGGCTCTGCAGAATTCTAAAGAGCCAAACATTACATATAGGTAAGCATGGACCAACCAAGAGTTACAATTTATCTATTTTTTAACTCAAGAATGTAAAACAAAAAATAAATAAGATACAGTCAGTTAAATACATGAATACATTCTGAAAGCACGTTGTTGTGTTTCATTATTTTTCTTGTGCCTTAATTGAAAGTCCTGTTTCCCTGGTTAAAGAGCATGAGATCAAGCATGCCTAATAAAATGCATGCTGAGATGTTTTTTAAAAAAGCATTACAATTAACATCACATCATTTATTCAGCTCTGAAACACTGTTAAGTTACTTCATTGAGTCTTGGCCAAAGCACGAACAATGTAACCCTTGTCTGGTGAAAGTTGGTCATGCACTAAGGCCAATGCAAGAGAACAAATGTCCCGTCAACACACAACATAAAATGTTTGGCACGGGTTGGTTATAGGTTCAGTACTAAGATCAGCCTTTGATAAGCAATGTAGCATGTTGTCATTTTAATTTTAATTTATTTTATTAGTGCTTTACATTTTGTTGTTACGAATTCCACTGCTGCCACACATTTATTTTTATGAGGAGGAGTAAATCCCTTGGGCAAAGCATAATATGAATATAGAAGCAGCAAGGGAAAAGTACATTTTCAATAAGTGAACTGAGAAACTGGTGCTGAACTAACTAATATTTTGATGCACTAAGCACTGGACTGAAATTTACACAGCAAAGAGTAGAACTGATACCCAGAAACCTCCTAAACTTTACTGTATCCTGTCACCAGCTGTGTTCTGGATCAACATCATGCCTACTGTATTGTCATATTTGGGTTATTTCTGCTCCCATGGTCCTCAGCAATGGCCAGAAGTTTTAGCAGTTCCTACTGTTTCATCTTTAGACAGTGTATGGCCGAGGAGCTACCATTTGCTGACAGCTCAGTGGACTTGATGACAGCCATGTCTGCCTTCCACTGGTTCGACCGACCACGCTTTCTCCAGGAGGCCCACAGAGTCCTGAAACCCTGTGGCTGCTTGGCTCTGCTCAACTACACCATTGACATGGAGCTTAGCTATCCTGACTGCTGCTCACACACACTCAACCAAGTGTGCAAAGAGGTGCTTACAAGAATATTCGCCTTTTTGTAAATGTGCACTAATACACCCTCAGCCACAAGAATAGAGATAGAGATAAGGCCATTTGGCTGGGAAAATAGTTTTGCATAGTAACATGGGCATGAACATGATCAGTAAACTGTGCATATACTGTACAAAGAGATGCATTTATGATCACTTAAGGGTGATCGATGCCAATATTGTTTCTAAACTGTCCATAGTGATCAACACACATGTTTCCGAGATCTATTGATAGTCATGGATGAGGCAGATTTTGGTCCCTTGTTTGCAAATGAACAACCACATCTAGCAAAACTATGTATGTTTATATTTACAATCTTGGTATGCAGTATTGAAAAAGCATTTAAGAGACTATACTTTCCAGAAAAGCAAGGCTAGATGAACATGGACCTTGGAGGGTATGCAAGCTTTCATTGCATTTTAGGATTAAACCAAGTTGTTTCTCCTTTGACTAAAGTCTGATTAGTGAACTCATATGCTCTAGTCTTTGGTACAATATACTATTCACAAAAGCACCAGAATCACCACCTGCCTCATCTGCCTGATGTATAAACTACAATACACTGACATACACTGCAGGTCATCACCATCAGACACATTACACAATTAACAACAGCACCATCTAGTGGAGATTTTTGGATAAAATATACTTCGATTGAGTGGCACAGTTATCTCAATTGCATTCAGTTAGTTTGCATATATTTATTAAAAACAACAATGTGAAAATGTGGATTATGTGTTGATGTCAGGGGTTAAAGAATAGTTTACACTAACTCTGGATATATTTTAGGCTTGTATTTAAGTTTGATTATTTTCAAATGGCTTAAGCAAATAAATGAGTGAGTAAAATATATCTGGTTCAGTCTATATATCATACCATTAATGAAGTGATGAAAATAATCTTATTTCTCCCTGTTTGTTTGTTTTATCAGTTTTATGCAGCCTTGCAACCTTACCGCAGTCCCCACCTTGGACCCAGCTCTATTGAGTTATACCGGGAAGCCTATAAATCAATCCCATACCCTGAGAAGGAGTGGTGAGTGACAGCATGCCTAGACCTGAAGATTTTCATTACCTGCTGCTATCAGCCATTTTGTAATTTTCATCTTTTTTTCCCTTTCTTTCTTTTGTCATGGAAAAGGTCACTTTATCTCATCCTTTTGGGAAAATCACACTTAGTGGGACTAATTTGACAGATTTCCTTCTCTTTTCCTCTATAGTTAGTCTGTGCGCAACACTGTCAAATCAAAGAAATAATGCTACAGTATGCTCTGTGAACTAAAGCCTGAAGAAAATGGGAAGAACGATATGTTTCTTTAGCAAATTTCATCTTTGGTTTAGAGAAATCCAGTTGACATGTACATACATCTACAGTTGCTTCATATTTACTCTCTCTGTGTGTGTGTGTGTGTGTGTGTGTGTGTGTGTTTAATGTATCACAGGCAAGAGTGTGTGTGGGTGAAAAGGTCCATGCCTCTGTCCAGCTACATGGGGTTGGTGGAGTCTTTCTCGAGCTATCAGGCTCTGCTGAGAGAAGACCCGCAGAAAGCCACCAGACTCTCCCAGGACATATGTGAAAGGTGAATGTCTAATGGCAGCATACATACAGTAGGCTACAGTATGCACATTTATGCATATCACACACACTTCACAATGAATATGTCTGAGAGGTAAGCTTTCTGTTGTCCCTGCACTACACCCTCAGACTGAATGATGACACACTCTCTCCCGTGTTCCTCTCCCCAGGTTGATGTCTATAATGAAGGTGACCTCTGTGGAGGCGGAGGTGGTGGTGGCTGTGAAGTATTTCTACCTTCTGGCCTGCAAACCACAGGAAGCCTGACTCTTGCCAGCACTCGCAGTTTCAAAAAATTCATGAATATAGTTGAGGACACAGAAATTTGAGCTACCCCCCAGTTATTTATCAACTTTTCTGTGAGTTAGTATGTTTAGATGTCTTTATGTTACTTATATATAATTTTGAACTGCCTACAAATACCACAAACAGAATAGTTTGACATTTTGGGAAATACTGTTACTCAATTTCTTGCTTAGAGTTAGCTGAGAAGATTGATGACCACTCTCATACGATAAATACGAAGCTGGAGCCAGCAACTGGTTAGCTTAGCTTAGCACAGAGACTGAAAGCAGGGGGAAACAGTTAGCCTGGTGCAAATATATATATATATTTTTAACAAGTTTTTTACACATTTTTTGCAAGAATCTAACAACCGAGATATAATGTGTTAATTAGTGAGCTTTAGAGGTGCTTTTAGGAAGATTTCTTTCTGTGTGTGTGTCCTCTCTTAATGCTCAGCTACGCTAACCGGCTGTTGGCTCAACTACAAAATGTACCATACCGACATGAAAGGGGTGTCAGTCTTCTCATGTAACTCTAACAATGCTGCAGGAAAGTTGTACAGATGATAAGCTTTTATACATTTATTTTTTGTAGTAAAGTGTAGATTTATGATTGCATCATGTTAGCAGTAGCTACACTTGAATATTGTAAATGATCTGTTATGTGTCATTTTATAAGGAACGACCTCCCCTTTGTACATGTAGTATATAGAGAGGGTGTTTTAAAAAATACCACTAGAGGGAGACATTTGATCAAAATGCATGGGACTCATGTCATCATGTGCACCGACACACACAGTGAAACTGTATGTAAACAAAAATGATATTGTGTATGATTTTTTATTTTGTTCTATACAATACTGAAACTTAATGAAGTTGTCCTGCTGAGAATTTGACTGAAGCAAGGCAAAAGTCCACTGTGTAGGTTTCAGAGCTGAGATAAAGCTGAGTCAGGCACTTTCAGACTTTCTTTCCTGGCTTGAAAGTCTTGTCAGAAATTCTAATTCCTATGTTTCTGGTCATCTGGTCAAGCTATTTATCCAAAAGGAAGTATTAGAGAAAGGGATCATTTAAAATCAGGATTGCTACACATTTGGGCCAACATAGTGCCATACTTAAATAACTTATTTTACTTTTCTTTCATTTGACACATCTTTTATCTTTTACACATCTACGTATCAAAGTCAAAGTCAAAGTCAGCTTTATTTGTCAAATATGTTATACATGCACGACATACAGCACAGATGAAATTTCAGTCCTCTCGGAC